GGCGCCGGACTTTGCGCGTTGGGAGACTCGTCAAAACCTCCTTCCCAGCAGCAGCGGCGGGCGACATGCACCAGCCTCTGCCGCCCCGGGAGTCCGCTAGGTTCGTGGCCGAGCGCAGCCGGGACGTGGCTGTGGATGACACGAGCGTGCGCAGGACGGCAGAGCTTCTGCTGCCCGCGGCCTCGGGGCCGGCGCTGCGCGTGGACGGCTGGCGGGCGCTGCACGAGCTGAACCCCCGCGCGGCCGACGAGGCGGCGCTCAGCTGGGTGTTCGTGGTGGACACGCTCAACTTCTCCTTCTGGGCGGAGCAGGAGGAGCGCAAGTGCCTGGTGAGCTACAGGGGCAAGACCTACAGCGGGTACTGGGCCCTGTGCGCCGCGGTGAACCGCGCCCTGGACGAAGGTGGGTACTGCGGGGCCCGGCGGGCGGGCGGGCGGGCAGGGCGGACGACGGAGGATGTCCCTTTAGTGAGGACCAGAGGGATGGACCAGGACACTGCGCGCTGGCCGTCAGTGCGGGTGATGGAGTAGGCACCAACGGGCCCTCCCAGGGGAGCGAGTAGGCAATGAGGTCTTGCTTCGGGTCCTTGTTCATCCACCTGGATGCATTTCTACAGCATTCATTTGGTTTCATAGGAATTACACGTGCTAAACCTATGGGTCTAATGAAGTATGGAAGTATGATATTGTTCCCCCGAATTTTCTGTCCAAGGGATACCAATAACGAGTGCCTCCTATTATGCCACGGTGACCCTGGACCAGGTTCGGCACGTATTTCGTTCTGACACCGATGTCCCCATGCCTTTAATGGAAGACAGGCATCGTGTTCTCAACGAGGCAGGGACAATTCTGTTGCAGAAGTTTGGAGGCTCTTTCCTTAACTGCGTCCGAAAGAGTGAAAAAAGCGCGCAGAAGTTACTGCAGCTGGTTGTTGAAAGTTTTCCTTCTTACAGAGATGTGACTGAATTTGAGGTGAGTGCTTCTTTTGGAGATTTTAGAAATCTTAATTCTTTCGGAGTTAATTCTTTCCTATTTTAGCTGAGTTCTCCTTACTAGGACAAAAATACTGGACATGCACAAATTAGAGGAGAAAAGATTTCTTTCTTTCTTCTTTCTCTCTCTCTCTCTTTTTTTTTTTTTTTGGTGGAACCGGGGATTGCACTCAGGCAGGCCCTTATGCTTGCCATGCAAGCGTGTATTCGGAAAGATTTATTTCAGCTCACAGTTTATAGAGGTTACAGGCCATAGTCAGCTGGCTCCAAGCCAAGGCGGCCTGTGGAGGGGCATGCAAAGGAGAAAGTCCAGGGCAGGGCAGACGGGAGACAGGAGGAAAGTCTATCCAGTGCACACCCTGAGGGACCACCTCCTCCCACCAGGCTTTACTTCCCAGCATCACACCCAGCGATGAATCCAATCCCACACACCAGGGATCCAGTCAGCTCCTCAGAGTCCAATTAAGAGTGCATTGGATATAAGTCATAATACTTCCTGAACTCCATTTGTTCAGCTTGGACAAGAAACAGTAACCAAATGAAGTATCTCAAAAATTCTGTATGTTTACTAGTCAGTGTATTTCTTTTGTTCTTTGTCTTTTATTTTTTGAGGTACTTGAGATTGAACCCAGAGCCTTTTGCAAAGAGCTACATCTTTAGGCATTTTCATTATTTATTTATTTATTTATTTATTTTGGTGGAACCAGGGATTGAACTCAGACCCTTGCACTTGTCAGGGAAGTGCTTTATTCTACTGAGCCATCTCCTCAGCCCAATTTTTTATTTTTGAGACCGAGTCATAGGTCACTAAATTGCCTACATTGGGATTGATTGAGTTTGGAGTCCTCTTGTCTCAGCCTCCCAGTGTGCTTAGATTATGAATATGCCACCTTGCCTGGCATCACTATTTTTTAGGCAGGGTCCCACTGTGTAATTCAGGCTGGCCTTGAATTTATGGCAATGCCCCTGCCTCAGCCTCTTGAGTAGTGGGAAAACAGACATGGTGTCACCACACCTGGCTTCTTGTCCTTTGCAAGTAGAAACACTGAAAGGACTAGCCAGGATTTGGAGGCAGGTCCATGGAGGTCGACAGTCACTGATCTCTTGGTCTAGTGCTTATGTGAGATAAGCAGACAGGAAGTACAGAAGCAGAATGACTTGTCAACTGGTGATTGTTTGCAAGTGTTTGCTGAGCTATATCCCTGTCCTTGTTGATTGGTTTATACAACATGTATTACAGTGACCAGCTGTGCCTCACTGTGACCAACTTTTTAAAAAACAGGAGCCACCAGGATTGGAACAGGAGCTATTAGCTGGGCCAGCTAACAAACTGAAGTATACTAGCATGGGAGGGGTATTTTATGTAATACCTGAAAAACACTGAACCTTCCATAGAATGCTGTCCCTGAGGATAAAATACTTCAAAAATTTGCATCATTGTATGAAAATCAGAATTTATTTAAATTCTCTAACAAAAGTGTGGTAAAGTTCACTGTATATACTGTGTTTTCCTACACAGTATACTTTTACAATATATGAGTTTCTGTATGTTAATACATCAAATTAAAATTTTAAAGCAATTTTGCAATCACAATTCAACTAAAATTACCAATACATTGTTTAAATCATTTTCTGATTTGATGATGTTCATGCATACTATATAATTTCATCTACAAACCAGTTTAATGGACCTAAAGATGGGAGGAAGTCCTATGTTGTCCTATGTCCTATGTTTATAGATTAGGATTTTTTTTTTTTTGCTCTGAATGCCTTCAGGGCAGGTTTGACTGGCTTGAGTTGTGGGGATCAAACCACAACAACCTGAGCCTGACTGCTTTGTTGAAGCAGCCACTTAAAGAACTAAGCTAAGGGGCAGGCCCCCTTATGTTTATAGATTAGAACCAGTTTTTTTTTTTTTTTTTTTTTGAACCAGTTTTGAAAAGTTAAATGGTTGATCGTAGGTTAAATAGTTGATAGTAGGTTATTTATTTATTTAGGGAATAACCTTTGATTCTACTAGAAAGTGAAAGATTTGTAATTATGTGTGTTAGTATACATTTGATGGTTTCTTTGGGGGATTGAACCTAGGGGCTCTCTCAAGGTACAACAACTGAGGAACATACCTTGATTTTTCTAAAAAATTTACTTTGAGATATAGCCTCCCTAAGATGCCCAGAATGGCCTCAAACTGTTTTATTTATTTGACCACAAATTTTTGCTCTTTCTACCTTAGCTTCCCAAATAGCAAGTAGCTTAGTGTGCATCACTCTACCCTGCTAAGATTTTCTTTTTCTTTTTTTTTTTTGCGGAACCGGGGATTGAACTCAGATCCTTGCATTTGCCAGTCAAGCGCTTATCCTACTGAGCCATCTCCCCGGCCCCAAGATTTTATTTTTCTACATTGCAAGTACATAAACACACTTTTTTTTTTTTTTTTTTTTTCCGGTACCGAGGATTGAACTCAGGACCCTGCACTTGCCAGGCAAACACTTATTCTACTGAGCTATCTCCCCAGCCCATAAACAAACTTTTTGCTGAAGCAAAAAGTTTTATCTTCATGAAAAAATAAAATTTCATAACAAAACACAGTGATAGTTAAGATGCTGTGTGTCATTACTTTCAAGGTACAAGATGTAGACAAAAAGGTTCTTTCTTACAAAGAAGGAACAAACAGTATCACAAAACTTTCTTTTTCAGTGAGGCCAAAAAGTTTTAGATGGGCCAGGCACAGCCTTGATTCCAGTGCTGATGGGCTCAGTGTCTCGCCTTTGCTTCTGTTGCTGTTTTTCCCCTCGCTGTGGACAGTCTCAAAATCTTTTTGCCTCAGCGCCTGGAGAGAGAGACAGGCTCAGTGCCACTCCCAGCCCTGAACCCTATGAGTTGTGGCAGGTAGGTGTTGCCCTCAGCAGGGCTGAGAGGTAGTTTCCAGAACAGTCCCCAGGCCGCTGTTGATTTTTATCTGCTCCACTTGCTAATGTAAAGGTTACTCTGAGATTTCTCTTTGTGTTTAAAGTATGTTGTTTCAGACTTGTTTTTCAGGAAATTTGGGATCAAATTCTGTAGTCCATCATTAAAGCAACTTAACTGTAATAAACTGTGTGAAAGAGAGCAAACTACCAATCCCATAGTGCAGTATACATGGACTCTGATTTTGGTATTTAACCCTTTGCATATGACTGTAACACAGGAAGGACTGAGTTAATAAGGAGTTTGAGAGGAGAGGAGGAAGAGAAGGAGAATCAGTAAATAGTGATAAACTAGCAAATATATCCTTCCTCTGGTTCTGTGCTTCAGGCTTATAAATCCATTTATGTATGTATGTATGTATGTATGTATGTATTTATTTATTGTGGTACTGGTGATCGAACTTGGGACCTTGTGCTTGCCAGGCAGGCGTTTATGCTACTGAGCTATCTCCCCCGGCAAATCCTTTTAAAATAACTCTTAATGAAAAAAAGTAAAATGGTAAACACATTTTTAAAAAAGTCAATAATGTAGCCTCAAGGTGGAATGATTTCAGGATACCATGTACTATAGTTCATTTGCCTTTTGGGGGGTAGTTTTTATACATGCAAAGATTGATTTTTTTTTTTTTATTTTTTTTGAGAGTTTCTATTGAATTTACCAGGACTTCGGTTAATTTTAAGGCTGATACATGATTATGTTTATACACAGATTATTTAATAAATTGAGTTTTATATCTTCCTGCTTTCGGTTTCACTTGGTAAACAGTGTTGCATAACATTTTATTCCTTGGACACATCTGTTGTTATGGATTCCTGTGGTGGAGTTGCCGAGTCACAGCATGGTCAAAAATTTCAGGCTTTCAATACGTAAAAAAAAAAAAAAGCTGACTTTTCCGGAAAGATGACAAACTTCATAACACTGAATACCTATTTTCTTTGTCATGTACTGGGAGTTGAACCCAGGGCTTCATACATGCTAAGCAAATGTTCTCTAGCACCATGCTGTATTCTCAGCCTCTTTTAGGTTTTATTTTGTCTTTTTAAAAATTTTTCTTATTTTAGGGAAAGGTCTATAGAGTGTTGAGGTTCTCACTACTAGATTGTACTCTTAGTGATCTGCCTGTTTACATCCTCCCAAGAGCTGGGATTACAGGCACATGCCACCATGCCCAGTCTCAATTGCCATTTCAGCATGTCCTGGGGAAGAGGATGGGGGGGCGGGCATCGAGCCCCTGGCCCCTGTGCCTGCTGCAGGTGCTTTAATCCTCTGAGCTATTTGTTCCCCCGACCCCCAACTGGGGATTGATCTCAGGCCCATGGGCTTGCCAGGCAAGTGCTTATCACTTATTCTACTGAGCCATCTCCCTGGACCCCACTGTATTTGGCAGGCCTTTATTTTGTCTTTATAACCTTTTTTTTTTTTTTTTTTTTTTTTTTAACAGAACCAGGGATTGAACTCAGATCCTTGCGTTTGCCAGTCAAGCGCTTATCCTACTGAGCCATCTCCCCGGCCCAAGTCTTTATAATCTTGCTTTGGTCTTTAGAGTGCTTAATTATAGGCATGCAGATTTTGATCAATAGGTAAAAGAAGAGCTATTTTTTAAGCTCTTCAGGTGACTAATTTAGAGTATATAGTAACTATGTAAAAATTCTAAGTAATAATCAACTTGGTTGGGCTATCTTTTAAAAATTACTTAAAATTGAGCTTTTAAAAAACTTTATTTATAAAAAACCATTTATTTATTTATTTATTTATTTATTTATTTATTTATTTGTACAGTGTTTCAGTATGCAGCTCAGACTTGTAGTGATCTTCCTATCTCAGCCTCCCTAGAGCTGGGATTACAAGTGTGTACCACCATACATGGTTTCAATGACCAGCCGGTGTGGACCAGCAAAGCGTGTGATACTGGGGATTGAACCCAGGTCCTTGCACTTGCCAGGCAGGCACTTAGACTGTCGAGCTTTCTCCCCACCCCTGAGTGAGCTTTTTTATATTTCTTTTTTGTTTGTT